AAAATGATTGTGCGCGCAGTATTTATAGTGTAATTCATGCGATCTATGTGTTCGCGTTGTGATATCAGACATTATTTGCATCAGTAACACAGTGAGGCTATATGAGAAATAGGCCCGCCTATGTTTAGCGCTCACTGTATAGTACCCATCGTACAGTGTCAGTGAAAATGCGACTGGGTTTCGTATTTGATGGCTAATCTCCGTAGCAACGAGCAGGGAGGGTTTGGTGGGTGGGCGACGCTGGGTGGGGCGGGTAGGTGGTGTAGTTTCCGTCGGTTATACTAACGCAGATGGGGTCGTTATCGTATCAGGTACTATACAGATATGTACCCGAGGTAGTTTTAGGTTGTTTAGTATTATGTTTACATTTTTATATGAGGTATGTTTAGGGTTAGGCCGTTAGGGTTAGGGTTAGGGTACACTTCTGTAGTACAAGTCTGGTACACTTTGTGTATACATATATGTACCTCGGGTACATATCTGTAGTACCTGATACGACAACGACCCCTTGAGCGTTAGTGACGCACTGATGAGGCATGCCACTAATTTGCCCGAAGGTGATTGAAAAGCTGCCTTGATATGATGCCTACTACCTTCCCGTGGTTCCGTATTCCTTGCAGGTAAAGTGACTGCATTTAAGATGGATATCGGGCGTTTAAATCTCGGCCACACATAAGAAGCCATTCGGGAGCTTAGTACTTCAATGTATTGTAATACGATAATGTAATTATAGGCGTCATGCAGTGTATGTCAAATCATTTAGCCATAAAATATATATGTTGCACAGACTGTACTACTTATGTCGCTGTTGTTGTTGTTGTTGTTGTTGTTGTTGTTGTTGTTGTTGTTGTTGTTGTTGTTGTTGTTGTTGTTGTTGTGTGCTTATGGTCACATATCTATGTCTCCGAATGGTGCAGGCAATATAGTAAATAATGCAGCATTACTTGGACTGGCTGCCTGACATAAAGCAAGACGGAGAATGCTTGAATCTTTAACTGTGGTGGTGGTCTATTTCATAGCACGATTAAGTAGCACGTTATTTAGTTCAGGAAAAAATTCCACTGTGAAACAGGTTTTACGACATTAGCGCTATACTGACGTTTTCCCGGCTACACAATCTCGTATATTACCAAAATCTAAAATACCGAACCTAAATTTTTCAAGCGAATGTGCGTAGGTATTTATTAACCAGTTGCAGTTAAATTCATGCTGTTATTAGTTAGATGTTGGACAATTTACATGAAAGATACCATGGGAAGGTTTTCATACAGCGTATGGCAGCGTTTCTATTTGTTGTGAACGCGTTGTGTAAATGTGCCTGGGCCAGCCTGGTTCTTTTTCACGGACAGGTCTTATACTCTTTGTACCATTTCCTGCCGGACCATTGTGGTCATGGCGGATTGAAGACAGCTCATTGAAGTTGTTCGTAAATACGTTTATTCTGCTGACCTATCTCGTGGTGGCAATGGCCGTTAGTTGAAAGACGTACCAGAGTTTCCGTGGCTGGTAGTATTCGAAGTGCTTTAGTGGAACAAATTGCAACACTGAAAACAGGTCATTACAGCGACTCGGTAGCTACAGTGGTGCTCAAGGGGTCGTTGTCGTATCAGGTACTACAGATATGTACCCGAGGTACATATATGTATACACAAAGTGTACCAGACTTGTACTACAGAAGTGTACCCTAACCCTAACACTAACCCTAACCTTAGCCCTAACCCTAACCCTAAACATACTTCATATAAAAATATAAACATAATACTAAACAACCTAAAACTACATCGGGTGCAAATCTGTAGTACCTGATACGACAACGACCCCATCTGCTACAGTGGTTCTCCGGACGTGTGGAGGATGCATGTAGGCCCGGTGTGGTGTGGATACATGCGTAATAGCGAGTAAGCGTATGAATCGTATATCGTTGCCAGTTAATTAGTAAACCGGCTCGACGGAGTTAGAATTTGGTTTGCGACATATACCTTCACCAGGTAGCCTGTCTTTGTGACATGTCTGATCATGGATTCAACGTCACCGCGATGGTTTAAATGCCAGCGTTGACACTACGACGAGTCTAGATAGGATGAGGGTAACTTTTGAATATCTTAAAAGCTTTAGTATTTTTTTAAACATTTGAACTTTTGTTTAAAAAAACATAATATAGTGGCGGTTCCATAAAACGTGTGATTTTCTTTCTCAATAGGACGTTTGTAAAAGGAGAAATCGGCTGGTCACCCCCCAAAACAGTCTAAACGAATGCGTGTGGGCAGGAGAAAACGTTTCGTAGACATTTCTGTAGAGCTAGTATAGCGTAGTATAGAGGGGAGTATAGACGGTGCGAATTCTCTTCTCTACACACAGGCCTGCAAGGCCGCCTGTAGTCGGGTCGCAGAGTGTATGTATTGCTGTCTGTGTCGGCTGCTACCGGATAAGCCAGCCCCCTTGCAACACGCCACATAATATCATATACATGTACATCAGAAAGCGTCTGGCTCAGCAGCCGTCGAGCGTATGTATGCACGCAGTATTATACGCGCAAGGGCGGGCGGCGTGAATAAAACTCACCTTCTGTTGTGCGTAGCAAGCGGCTAGACGGGCTGCGCTGCCGAGAAATAAGCGACGAACCAACCCTCTCGACGTGTCGCGAGCGCATGGAAAATGATGTTTCATGATGGAAAATGTGTCGCACGTATAAAACGTACCCACTGGTTACGCTGCGTATAAACTTAAATAACACATGTCGAAAAGTGTAAATATCTGAGAAGAACTACTCTCAATGCGTCACAAGACGGAAATGTAGAATATGCTGTACATATTGCGTGATGAGTGTATTACCGCTTGAACTAGTCGCCTCAAGTCTTCAATTTGGCAGTCAACTTAGGACTGCTTTCTGCTCTTCAGTTGTAGCTATAATTGATCGACAATCACTATATAATAGACTCACAATATGATCAATTATAACACAGTATAATCGATAATCCATATTGCCACCTCTACTAATAAAATAACAATGGGTTATTTATACAATAAAGTGTAAAAAATCAATAAATTTGAATTGCAAGAAAAATAGATATCGCCAGGAAAATCGAGAGCTAATGAGTAAAATTAAGGTACTGCTCAAAGGATATACCAAAAAAATGGAAATACAGAATTCACCAATAACGCGTATATAACATGCCAGTCCGTATAGTTATGATATATATAAGATCTATTTTATATGTGTGAAATATGGGCAAGCAAAATATATTTTACGTTATTCATTCACATTTAGTTCAACCCTGGGTGTTGTCGCCTTTGCACTTTCGTTTACATGTATACAGAGTAGGGGGCAGGGCTCAGGAAGGTTTATGTAGGTTAGCTGCTGGGAAAAGGGAGTGGGCGGAGGAAACTGACTCATGGCAGAAAAATCTGCAGGCTGTCTGCATTTATCTAGCTATGTGTGCGTTCATGTGAATGTCTATGTGACCGTGGGTGTGTGCGTGTGCGTGTGAGTGTGTGTGATCGCGTGTGTAAATATGCGTATCTGTACGTGTGTGTGTGCGTGGGCGTACGTGAATGTATGCGCGTTCGCGAACGTGCGTGTGTGTGTGTGTGTGTGTGGGTGCGTGCGCGCGCGTGCGCGTACGTGAACGAACGCCAGAAGCACGCGTGTATGTAATAGCCTGGTAATAGTTATACCGTCGCAATCTTGCTATCTCCGCCAATGTAGATTAAAGTAAATACAGCCTTGATCAATGCTCTGCTGGCCGCTGGTTATGTGCAGCCGGTTATTGCCGCTAGATCATATGGTCGCTTTCGTTAGATAGACGATCGTTTCACACGTACAAGCACCACATCGGTTATAAATCCTACAGCTACTGCGTAGGAGTTTGCCAGTGTTATTTGCCGTCGGATATTGCAATTGTCAGTCCACATCGTAAAAGTCTGGCCTCTGCCTGGAACGCTGCGCATGAACTCTGGCTGGTCGACTGTTTCATCGTGGTCTGTCAACCACAACTACGTTAGCCAGTCTAGACTTCGAAATTCGTAAACTGTGCCATTGAACTATACTGACTGCCTGCTGGTACGTTCTTTTAAATCTAGATACTGTAATATCTGTAGCACTAGCAGTAGCAGTAAACATGAGTCGGGTGAATGCAATGGTAATAGTAGTGGATAGTTGTAAACAGTAGTAGTCGTAGTGGTTGTCGTGGTAGCCGGAATTTATCCGTACGATGTATGCACATGAATTCCTGGTGGTAATAATGCCTGTCTTGTTGGTCATTGTAGGCATAGGTAGTGTATTTAATTGTAACCTTCGACAAATGTAACACAACGTGGAATCACATATACAGTAACCACGGGGTGAGACCCCTGAAAAACAACTCTTGGTTGGCAAAACTACAGTTGGCGAGACGAACAGCTTAATTATTGGAAAAGGTGGTTGTATCCTCGGCTGCAGTTTCACTTTTGTCCAATTTACTAAATAATCATATGTAATATAGGATTAAGAAACAGTAAACATTTAATCATCTAACATTTAACAGTAAACATTGAGTGTAATATCCACCTTGAGTGAGTATCACGATTGAGAACGGGGGGGGGGGGGTAAGTTGGTTCTAGTCGTGGAAGGTTAAAGTGAAGAGGCAGTGCTGAAGGGAAATTTGAAGTAGCTGAAGTGTAATAGCTGCTTACATTTTTGACCGTTTTACTGTGGCGAGCTGTGTATTCTTGAAACAGAGTGCCGTGATTCGTTGTTAAATGTACACACAGTAAATTTTATATCCATACATTGTACTAAAGAAAAACTGGGACCGCATAAGGATAATTGTACGAATCCAAGCGTTAATTTCTGTTTACAGAGACTTCCAAATATGGGTATCTTATTATACATTGTATCAAGAGCGTATTAAGAGGACCTTTATACGCTCTTGATTGTATCAAATAGTAATATTGCATGCCCGTCACTCTGCATATGTCATCCCGAGGCAATTTTGTATCTCAAGCTATTCTCTCTGTTTCAGGTTCCCATGGCGCTGAAGTGGAGGAAGGCCTCACATAGCTACCGACTTCATTGCAGGTATCTCGGCAGGTAGGTTTGGCGATGACCCAACATAGTACTGTCACGAGCGTGTGTGCATGGGTGCTTCAGCACGTGAATAAGTGTATTCATGCGCGAGGGTATATAGTAGTAATACGAAATTATAATATTTCTTTACATGTTAATTTCTCTTGTGCTGCTTACAGGGTATAATGTCAGAGTCCCTATCTCGGGATGCTGACAGAATCACGACTACACGCGAGCAGAACCAGAGAGTGGTGCAGGTAGGGGGCGTGGTCGAGGGCAGCCATGTGCATGGCCTAACCCCACGCAGCTCTGCCCAGCTGCCCATTGTTAGACCGATTGCAATAGCACTTCCGGAGAGGGCTGTTGCCAGGACTGCTCCAGACAGCAGCCTGGGTCGCTCTGTTGCCAGAGCGACCCCAGACAGCAGTCAGAGTCCCCATGTGCCACTCAGCCACTCACCACTAGGTGGCATTCAACTAGGAAGAGCATCGGATAGCAACCAAGGGTCTCCGATCTGTGTACCTATTCAGTATCGGCCGTACAGTCAAGGAGTTTATTCCAGTAGTGGCTTGCTTGGTAAGTAAAACCTAATATTTTCCTTGTGAATAGTAAGATGTTACTGGGTAGGATACTGGGTATGGTTGATGCATTGAACGGGCTAATTTTTCTGTATCCCATAGATATAGCATTTAACTAGTTTACAGTTGGTGTCGATCTGTATGTAGGCTATATATAATATATTAACTATGTATTCATGAAAGCAGATTCAGTTGATAGTGCTGGGAGTGAAATGGTTTAGATCATATGACCTATTGCTTGGTAATCTCACTAGCTTGAGTAAACTCGATTATAAACGGATATCTGTCAAAATTCCCCATGCTGTGGGTCATGCTTAGGTTGGGTGCATTTGCTCTCGGCCGCACAGCGTTGCTTAGATAAGCTCAGCCGCACAAACCCTGATAAACATGCTGCCTCATGAGTTCCCTGAATGTAAACATGAAAACATAATAAACTACTAATAAAGATATAGTTCCTACATTATTCTCATGGTGTATTTGACCGGTGTGTAGCCATGTGTTTTGTTTGGAATATTAGTGTTTACACTTACAGCCGTTCTACCACTAGTTTGATCACTATTTTTGCCCATCAGATGCGTATCTGTCACAGTATGTTAATGCCGGTTCAGGTTTAGGTTTGGCTAATGTTATCAGGTTCAAGTGTAGATGAATTTGTTTGCTGTAGTTATATAGCTGAAAAATACGAAGGATATTCGTACTTCCACATTATTATAATAACCTAGGTTGAATTATTTACGTGAACGTTCTGCATGTATTAGAATGTATAGAATGTATAGAATGTATAGTATGTACTCTACAAAACAAGATTTCAAGGTTGAATAAAAGAATTGCTAGTGCAAGGTGATATCATGATCTGCATAGGATCGATAGGATCTATGAATGATACTCGGCATGGCTCATTTGTGATAATGTGTGCTCATACGCTTTGCTGCGAGTGCCTAGCTAACGACCTCTCCAAATCTCAGTGATAGTGAGAGCTCGGTCCTACTATGTCACATTCTGTCCCCAGTGCTAGAGTTTTTGCCAACAAAAAAACTAAATCATGAAATAAAATTGTCCGGTGCGGGGTTGGCATTTACTCACGACCACCAATAGTCATTGTGAGTGCGAGTAACAGCTCAGTGTTCATCCAATAGCCCATCTCACATAAAAGAATAGAAATATCTGTTTCAGTATTTGTTAACTATATATATATACAATATTTCATATTCTGAACTATGTTACAATGTATCATACAGTGTACTGCAAACTGACACAAAATTCTTCAATCAGTTATGCTGGTTGGAATTTAACTTCTTTTGTTTGTATTTTATTATATCATTGACACTGTCCTGGCATAGCGGAATCATGTCATAGTAAGATATTGCAGCAATTTCCAGACTTACCACTCTGCAATTTTTTTTCACATTTGAAACGACTGACTGACAACTATTAGCCCATAATGTGGGCACATATTTCAGCGCAGTAACTTATATGTCATGTAATGTATGCATTAGAGAAGGGGATGTTATCTATGATGGGATAGTATCAGGAGTAAGATAATATAGGATATATTATCTTACTCCTGATAGTATGCTGGTTTGCCACATCAACATTACAACATGATATGATATTAATGGCACTACATATTTATTTTATTGTTAGATCGATCCATAATTGCACTAAAAGGAGCTTCACCATGTTTGTCCAATATTTTTGCAGTCTGACCGCTTGGTCTCTTTGCGTGTCATACACTTAAAATTAGTGGGGAACCACTATAATATTACATCAAGAGTATATAATTGAGATCTCTATTCTGTACTCTTGAGTCTTGATTACATGTATAATGATAAAGAACGGAACAGTATCAATACTTCTATGTGTTTAATAATGGCAGCTATATCTGATTCTGAGTTGGTATAGGATGCAAATATTTTTAGAGAATGTTAGCGAAACTGTTATTTAGTCTGTTACTCTACCTCATGAAATAGGTGTTTTAGTTGATATAATGAAAGTAATGAATTACTGCACTTGTACGCGTTCTCCACGTCCCCCGTTCACCTAGTGTACCTTGACAGAGTGTGGTAATGCAAAATATATGCATGCTGCATGCATTGGCTCGATCTCTCTGTCGCTCTCTCTCCCTCTCGCTCTCTCTCTCTCTCTCTCTCTCTCCCTCTCTCTCGCGCGCGCGTGCGTGTGTGTGTCTGTGTGTGTGTGTGTGTGTGTGTGTGTGTGTGTGTATGTGTGTGCGTGTGTGTGTGTGTGTGTGTGTGTGGTGTGCTGTGTGGCGTGCGCGCGCGTGCTGCGTGCGTGCCTCTCTGTCTGTGTGTCTGTGTGTCTGTGTGTCTGCTTTGCTCGCTTGGTGGCTGTCTTTGTTTCTGTTTGACGTTATCTCTGAATATCGCAGCGTCATGGTGAAACTTGGTGTGGGAAGTGCTGTTAAACTTAACAGCTCACACGGAGATGCGCAATGCCAAAAACGCATAATTCTCCAGTACTAGACTAGCAAAATACTTCGTGGCATAGCATAATCACACTACTTAGTGAACAAAATATAAACTCTAGTTCCTGCCCATTTTCCTGCACGTTTGTCTTATAAAAGGTATTTTGAAAATACCTCCACTGTTGTTGAATTCTCCGATGTTGGTTGACGGTTTCTCCCAATCCCCAAGCAACCGTGCAGCGGTACAGGCGGTACAGCGGTACGGGCGCAGCAAAGATAAAACACATGTGACGTCACGTCACCACTTCGAGGCTATATTGTTTTGCAAACAGTCGGCGTTTGCGCCAGAGAATGGCCAGTTTTCTCACACTCTTTCTTTGTGGGTTTAAAGCAACGCGCAGTGAAATGGAGCAACTAGATTTATTTTGTCATAAGGTAGTGTGATTATGCATGACAGCGAAGTATTTGCTAGTCCTAGTACTGGTGAAATAAGCGTTTGATGCCGCGTTGTGAGCCTTTAAGCCCGGCGCAGCAACGTGAGTAATTTTACCAAGTAAAATGATGCATGCGTCAAAATACTCACGTGTGCGCCGGATTTTCGTTGAGTTTTCTGACGCTTGCATCAAGAAACTCAATATCAAACATGTTTGATAATTTTTGACTTATGCGTCAAAATACTCAACGTGTGCGCGTTAGCTGCGTAAATTTACTCAACACTGGTACTCACACTCACAGTGCATGCGTGTAAATCATTTTAAAGATGACTGCGCCCAGTATTGGCTGCGCACAGTCACGTGATCTACATTACCACTTACACCTTGAGTAATTTTACTCACGTGTGTGGCGGACGCTGAAAATATTTCGCGTGAGTATTTTTACGCATGCATCATTTTACTTGAGTAAAATTACTCACGTGTGCGCCGGGCTTAATATTTTGTAGTTGCAAGTGTAACCACACAGGTCAGGTACATTAGGATTGCATAATCCTGCCGTTCTGTGTGATTCATCATTTAGTCAGTGTGTACGTGTAACATATTTCATGCGTATCATTTATTGATATATTACCAAAGCTTGCGAGCTTGTGTAAAAATTCAGAACAGAGTTCTCTTAACTTGGGCGTTTTGCGTTATTTGTTACATTAGGTGCATTTGTTACATTAGGTGCATTATGTTCAGAGCAAAAATGATATCAGATTCTATGAGAGTTGATAACCGTGCCGGCCGGAATGAATCAAGTGTTGTAATAACAATGTGTATATAAATTTGTGTATATATGGGAATAATATATTGCTGAATTTTCGGCTATTATAAACATACTGATGTCTGCTTTGTAGATGTGTGCCTGTCTACAGGTGAGATCATCCCAAATCTGCCCAATGTTTTTCGAATTTACTATTCATTCTTATTAAATGCAACAGAAGGTGGCAGCACCTGGCAGTGAATTACAGTAGCTGCGTGTCATAAACAGCGATTGTGAGTTTTCCTTGTTACAATAACTCAGAACCAGATCAAATCTCCTTGCTCCATCCCTTCGCGCTTAGCTCAGGTTGCGTAGGTGGGTGGGTGATAGTACAAAGTCGTTTGTTCTGCCTGAGTTTCAGCTGCAGCTTACGTGTGATAAAATAGGAACAATAGAGTTGTATGGTGGTTATTGCCTGCTCCATGAAACAACAAATAAGGGGCAAATGAACTAGTTATCTATTAGCACCGTGACCGTTTCTGGGTTGTTTGAGCCACTAAACGACTTCATAACACTTAAAAAAGTTCGTGCTTAAATGAACCGTGTCTGTTGAATTCTCTTCGGTGTCACGTTTTAAATTCTCTGTGTTGGACTAGGCTATTCCCAACTGATAAGTTCCATATACGTTGTATACAGTGCAAAGGCAATGCATAAATAGACTGTAATCCACCATAACATCAGAAAAGAAATCCCGTTGTTTCCATTTCTATGCATTGGAATCTACTAATTTATCAAGCGGTACCTGCATCAGCAAGCAGCATCACACTGCCTTGCATGTGCGACGTTTTTGCCAGAAAACCTGCTGCCTTTAAAATGTGTATTAAACTTGGTGGCATTTTATCAGGAGTGTATCAATATTTGATACACTCCTGATTTTATGTGGCCCAGCCTCATGCATGAAGATAGGTTGATGCATGATATTATCATCATATCGCTATATAGAAGCCTGTGATCAATGTAAAGCGATGGAGAGGTGGTGAGAGAGTATTCGGATGGAGGGAGGGGTTGGGAGGGGAGAAGTAGGGAAAAGTGATTTACGTATAAAAGTTTCCTGCTTGATTACACACCTTTATAATTCACGTTTTTATACTATGTGTAGAGTTTTATGTAGAGAGAGAGAGAGAGAGAGAGAGAGAGAGAGAGAGAGAGAGAGAGAGAGAGAAGGGGAGGGAGGGAGGGAGAGAGAGAGGGAGGGAGAGAGAGTCAGAAGAGCATAATTAGTCTTTTATAATATGTAGATATTAAACGGCGAAATTACACTAATATTCGTGTTCTACATTGTATGAATCGTATCACATTGATTAATGACAGTCAATGAAATGTCATTCATCTATTCCTGTATTATATTCATCGGTGAAGAGAATTTAAACCTCCCACTGCATGCT